CACCCGGGCATTCCGGCGAGTCTAGTCCGCCATGTTGTTTACTAATTTTGGTTAGCGTTTAACAATAGGACAATACCATTCGATCCATGGGGGTGACAGGCTACGAATGTGCCGACATTGTCGAAGGACAAGGACAGGACAAGTTTGTGCAAGTGTGGCGAGACTCCCGTAGTTATGCGGAAATTATTTACCTCATGTAAAAAAAAGCATCGTTTTTCATTGTTGTGCTATATTGTATCGTATCATGGATCTAGGTAGTCCTGCATACAGTCTATGGAGGTACGCCGGGCTGTGTCTATCAACCAAACGCGTCCCCGTACACACAGCACTGCACTGTATGCAGGGCTAGCATCCAAGAGCCTTCGTGGTTGTGTAGTCAAAATAATGTTACAATGTGAAAACAGACAACCACTCAGCCATCATACGTATCGATACAAAACATAATTTGTCGATAATCGAGTGTTGCCAGGAAAAGTGAGATTGTTGCAAAATGTAGCAAATCATTTTCAAAACAGTGCCGCTAAGAAAGTCTCGCTATATTGCAACGTTCAGTAAGACTTGAATCTTGTTTGCGCCCACTGTAAAACATGTATAGTAAACAATCCGCCCTTTGTAGAAAAAATTTTTATTAAAAATAAGTAGAAGTAAACTAAAACGAAAATTAAAACACACATAACATAAAATAGTTTTGGCTGTTTTTATTCATATCTTATCACAGAAAGTGCAGACTATAATCAGAACTATTTTGTGAACTTGTGATGAAGAGAGAGAACTGGTGGTGAAAAGGTCAATGGCTGATGGTGTTTTGTATAACTATAAAACCATGTACACACGTGGTCTATTGTTTAATATCAAAAATAAAAAGGTCATCGTGATCTTGATATTTATTTGGCTCTGATTACAGAGTACAGTATGCAGGACTCTATCTTATAAAAACATTGTTGTTTTTGTTTATACTCTAGATGAAAGAATGTTAAAATAAACAAAAACAAAAATTAGTCGCTTACACATTTTGACCAGGCAAAGCCCAGTAGTCTGGTCACATACAGGTTGGTAGGTGGGTGGGTAGTTTTGGGTGGTGGTGGTGGTGATGGTGGTGGTGGTGGTGGTGGTGAGGGGTGGGTAGTGGAGGGGGTAGCAAAGAGGGTACCATCCTATTTGTATGGAATGTTTTGAAGTCAGTCATCTGTAAGCTATTGTTGAAGTAACACATTCCTTTTATAAGAAGATAAAATCATTTCAGCGTTTTCAGAATAATTCACAAAAAAATTTAGAAATATTAAATAGAAAAATTATGTCGATTGCGAAACATTTCAAACGACAACCAGTTTGGCGCTACTAGTGAAGTGAGTACTACGCGTGATTTCATTGCATTCAAAATTGTTCCATTTCAGACTGCGAATGCACGCACTCAGTGATTACTCAAAATGCATACTAATTAGGCACCTTGTCTCTTATAATCAAGCAGTTGGTTTGCAAAGATGTAAAATAATATGATTATTGCGAGTCTACTGCAGAGTACGCACTCAGACAGTATGCGGTTACATCAACCTCTGCTTACACTGTACTGTCGTTAAGTATAATGGTAGAACCTATGTAATAACCTCGTATTGTTACACGTCTTGCACTTTGGTATCTCAGGTCACCAAATTTCAAGCCCAATTGCCTAAGGCAATTTAATGAAACTGTGATGAGAATGTAGAGTTATTTTGAAGGGCACTTAAAGGTATTCGTTTCATGGCTATTCTTGGCCTGAGCTATGTCACAGAATATAGGTGACTATTACCGTTTCACCACTAGACTTACTTGCCCAAATTTGTTTGCACTTTTTTCTTATATTCTTCAATATTTCTTGAAATGAACCCTAATTTTGGTGCCAACAGACAAAATTTTAATCAATTTTCAGTTTTGACTAAAAAAAAAAATTGCTGTTTTTGTCCCAATCATCTGAAGGAAAGTGCAGACTATAAACGGGACTATTTTGTGAATTTGTGATAAACAGAGGGAAGTAGTGGTGAAAAGGTTAATAACATTCACCACTGTACAATGTATTTCTATGTGTGAGCTGTTGCGGAATGTCGGCCAAGGAACCGATAAAAACAGCTCAAACTCCACTTTGAGGTAATCCCGAACAACCAAATTTATATATGTTGCACATGTAGAGGCAATCTTGTTACACTGTTCAGGAGACTCTCAAAAAACTATCCCAAAATAACATTTCCTGAGATTTGTTGACTGTTGATTTTATCGGTGATGGGTGGCAGGTGATAAAAATTGCCCGGATGTTTGCTCCCGAGAATGGCTTGAATTTTGAGCCCTGTTTATAATGCGGAAAATGTAAAACTGGTAAGATTCAAAATGAAACTCATTTTGTTTTAGAAACGTACATTCTTTCACTTTGAAAGACAAAAACTGCTGCGAGAATAAATATAATTATTAATACTGTAAAATGACCAATTTTCACTGGGTTTAAATTTCGCAGATTTACCATTTCAGGCATATTCAGTGGGTTTTAAATTCACGGTTTTATCATTTAGATAATGTGTTCTATGCTAAATTTTACATATTCACTGGGTTTTATTTTAGCGCATTTTCCAGTCAGCGAAATAAGCAAAATTAAAACCCAGTCAATAATTAATCCTTTTACAGTATTTGGGAGATTATTTTCAGTAAAACAACATTTATTTTCGAAATATCTCAAGAATAGAATTACAAATCACCAATGCAATACTGTAAATGCATTGATTATTCACTGGGTTTTAATTTCGCTATTTTCACTGATAAGTAAAATCCGCTTAATCTATGTGAACATGTAAAATAGCAATAAAACTCATTGTTTCCTTGTCAAATTCGTGAAATTAAAACACTGAATATTGCTCAAAACATCAAAATAGTGAAATTAAATGTCAGTGAAAATAAATGCTTTTACAGTAGAAGTATGCGTAGCTGTGTTGGTATACTGTTATTGCAGAGATTGGGGAATAAATTTGTCAGAGATAGGATAGCTGTGAACCTTCTTTTTCTGTTATCTTCTGTTTTGCTGATGTGTTTCAAGGGTTTTTCTAGAAAAAAACTGCAAGTGGGAGCACTGAAATTCAGCAGCGCCACCAAGTAGCGGAAATAGGGTTCTTCCTACCAGGTTGTGGAATTTTTGATAATTCTAAATCAAAATGGAGCATTCTATGGCTTCCTTGGGACCAAAATTACCGGTACTATCAGACAGGTCACAGTTGAAGACTGTGGCCACATGTGATCCCTGGTCATTCAGAATTTTATGGTTGCCAGAGGATCTGCTCTCCAGAGTAAGGGGGCGCATGGCCATGGCATGAGAGCGGCTGTGCCCCTGTTCCCTTCAGGGTTTGCGCTAGTGTCTCGGCAAGACGAGTCCCACTTACAAAATTTTAAGAAATAGAAATTTTATCCTGAATAACTTTATTAAAGATTGGACCCCAGCATGCCTGAAAAACTGGGTCCCTCTTCAATAATTGGAGTCAGGGAAGCAAAATATGGGGTTAACGCAATCCCTGCCCTTGTCTAAAAAAATTCCTGTGTTTAAATAACCATCCTCTGATGTTATAGTATTACAATAAAGACATCACAATGATATCGTTTATCTTTGATAAATTTATCTCAGTTGATACATGTAGCTCTGTAAACATGGCGGATAAACCAGTTGTTGTACACTACCATGAAAATACCAAGATGGTTTCTAAAATAGAATTTAAAAAAAAAGGATCTAGTTGAATTACTGAATGTACCAAAAATAGTGATGGAGTATTTACGGAAATTCGTTTTCTTCTGACAGGTACCTCTAACTCGTGCATTTTGACATCAATGATACTATTTTTACTTTCTGTGTTGTCAGCTTCTTGACAACAAAATTACTAATTTTACTTTTTGGAGCTAACAGCTTTTTGACAATAATGTTACTACCGGTAACGGATATATGAATACCTACTGTTAAGGGGTTAATTATTCACTGGGTTTTAGTTTTGCTTATTTCGCTGACTGAAAAATGCGCTAAATTAAAACCCAGTGAATATGTAAAATTTAGCATAGAACACATTATCTAAATGATAAAACCGTGAATTTAAAACCCACGGAATATTCCTGAAATGGTAAATCAGTGAAATTTAAACTCATTGAAAATTATACAGTCATTTTACAGTACTTTGGGAAAAGGGCTGCCTATGACAAACAGACAGCATATTAAGCACAGATACATGTTCAATACGGCCCAAGCTGAACTTTTTTTTTTTAAATATTTAAAAAATGTTTGGTTTTTTCCCCCCTCATATTTTGTCAGGACCACCTATATTTCAAATTTTTTTTTTTACTTAAAAGCTTTCTACATCACTGTACTATTATAAATTTATGCGGCCTGAGGTTGTGCATCAGAAGTAAGTCGTGCGCGAAAGCTGTTTGGCTGAGGGCATCAAAAGCTGCATCTAGCCCATAAAGGTTTTACCACGGTGTAATCTCAAACAGACAACATAATTTGGAATGACACGTTTTGTTTTGAATGGTTAAAGCCGTGCATGCTGGGCCAGACATGGTACAGGAAGTTATTTCCCTGATGTGAGGGCGCACTTACCATAGCGTTACAAGGCCAGGCAATACAAGGTATCCTCGGGGGCGGAGCTACGTCACAGACGTTCCACGTTGCTAAGACGCGCACCACTGTACCATGCATTTCTATGGGCTCTGTGCGCGCTGCTGTGGAACGCCGGTCGAGCCGGTGAAAATTCGAGAAAACAACACAAACTCAACTTTAAAGTAATCGCGAACAACCAAATTTATATACATTTGTATGTTACACACGTAGGGCTAATTTTGTTGCACTGTTCAGAGGAGTCTCAACAATCATCCCAAAGTACCGTTTTATGCGGGTTTTGGGCCTTTGTTTTCAGCGCCGCAGGTTGCCAGGCGGTGAAAATGCCCGGATGTCCGCCCCCGAGGATATGATAATACGTAACTTTATTTTGTTTTTTTTATCACAGGTATCTGAAAACTCTGCAAGATCTCTTGGAATTCACAGATCAGAAGCCTGTACCTGTTAATACTGATCGGTAAGTTAAAGGGTATTAATAGATCAATCCAAAGTGAGATAGGTAGGCCTTTTATTTGTTGTCAGGAAATGAGTACTTTACTGTAATATACTTTATTTCCGTTTGGAATTTATTTTTGCTGTTTTCGTGGTTTTAGTGAAAATAAATAATAGCAAATATATGTTTTTTCCTATATTTCACATTCAACTAATCAAAAATAAGCGAAAATAAATTCCATACAAAACTCTCAAAAAGTCTTTTCAGCGAAAATTTATTTCAGCGAAAATAAAGTATTTTACAGTATCCTGGTAACATTTTGGTACAAAATACACCAGTACTATGAGCAGTGCCCTCTAGTGATGGAGCATTTATATGATGTCACACTGTCATATATGGGCGAGTTGCTCTAAACCTAACATGCCTCACAGAACAATGTAGTTTTTCACTTCCCCCAATGATTTTTTGTCGGTACCAATCAAATTGCAGGAACGTCAGATAGTGACGACAGAGTTTATTTCCGCCCAATGTTTATCATCTTGTTGGAAACAGCCTGTGATTTTTGCCGACAATGCAAACGCGGCTTTGATTGATGGTGTTACTATGACCACCAAACTCAATATTTTCTGAAAATCATTGCAAGAAGGCGTGAACTATGCGAGTTCGCAGAATTGATCTTGCCGACGAGACATACACTATTCCGTCGTGCATTAGTGGTGTCTGATGTAGTTCGGCCTGTGAGGGCGCCACTCACGCCAGCATGTCAGGCTTGGGTCATAGGTGCTCTTGGATAATTCACAGACCTGATTACTTTGGGATTGTTACTTCTGCATATTTATTACCTATTTTGCATATTATTACCAAATTCATAGATATTCAACAGATATCTCCAGTACCACTGACTTATGAAACTTGCTAAATAATTGCTTTTAGATAATCCACAGACCTGTTGTGAGTTGAAACTTGAATTGAATGAGCATATTAGTTAACTAATTTGCATAAATTATGCAATTTTCTGATATCTCAATTGCTGCTCATCAGATTTAAATTTAAACTAGGTACATAGGTGACAGAGACTACAAACTGTTAGTGTTATAAACTAACTATATAGTGATTAGTTTCACTTCAAGGAGCAGAGCAGAGCAGAGCAGAGCAGAGCAGAGCAGAGCAGAGCAGAGCAGAGCAGAGCAGAGCAGAGCAGAGCAGAGCAGAGCAGAGCTGGCTGATGAGCAAATGGTTTTCTATATATACTGTACTCGCACAAATCATTGAACATATCACTGCAAATTTTGTGTATTTACTCTATTATGTACATTTTCTATTTTCAGATTTACTGACAGCCTGCAGAAGATTCGTGACAGACATGCTAATGTTGTTGAAACCATGGCACAGGTGAGATACACAGTTTATGACATCAGCCTGGTCTGTGGGTTAATATTAACATCACTCGCCTCTCTCCTCCTTCCAAGCATCAGGGACACTCTTGATGGCTGTCAATCAGCATTGAAAAAAAAACAGAAAATCAATACATACTCTTGTCCACTTTCTCAGATAGTAAGGAGTTTGGTAAATTAGGCTGGCGACCCCCAACTTTTTTAAAAAATCATTATCTTTTTTATGCACTGGAGTGCATTCATGGGGTTGCCTCAGGGTGTCCTGAGTGACGTGGCGATAGAGACTCCTAGCAATGAAAGAGTTCCCAAGGCAAGCCATGTACTCAACTGTAATCCAGGAAAAAAGTGTCTTGTGATTGTGATGGTCCATTTCTATGCAAGGGAAACTTCTGTAAAATGTATAAAATTTATCATAAAAATACACCCAGTTGAATTTTATGTTTGGGGAAAATCACATACACACATTTTACCTATGAATTTCATTGCTCGCAATCTTTTCTCCAAACTTCCCCAACAGTGTGAGCAGGGGTGGTAAAAACTGCCTCAAGATGCCCCAGTAAACTGATTGTTGCACCCTAAGGTTCCAACACAAACTTCTAGAGCATAATTTATTGTAAAATTGTATAAATTCTAGATGTTTTCATTTATCAGTAAGCTTCTACCTTAAATGATAATTTACCGGTACACTCTGACTGTACTGTGTATAGTGATATACTGATTATATATAACAGTAGTTTTTTTTTTTTTTTGTAGGGAGTGATCGAAATGAGAGACACTCATGGGATCGACCCAAACAAGGAAGGAAATTTACAATACTTCTTAGATAGATTCTTCATGAGTCGTATTAGTATACGAATGTTAATAAACCAACACAGTAAGTATATCTGATTATTTAGGGCTGGACCATTCATTATATTGGGGGGGGGGGTATCAGATATTTTCATGTTCTTCTCGGTTTCACTGAAGCCATGTCTGAACTTTTGTGTGATCGTGTTAAGAAAAGTTATATGTAACAGTTAGTTGTATGATTAGAGAGCGTTCAGGCAGCAAATTTTTGCACATGCTTATTTTCGGTCCAAAGCATGGTACCGAGATCAATTTTTTTCGGCATTTGTCGACTTGGTCCTGACCGTTCACACACAAGTTTCAGCGTGTACCGACTTAGTCCCGAGTTTCGACATGTTTCGAGATTTCTAACATGAACGCTACTATAGTTTGATCTGTACAGTGTACTGTACACTCATTGTAATACTTAATTTTGTTAGTAAACCAAAGCTAGTTTTCTCCTAATATACTGAAAAATACTTTATTTTCAGTCAGAATTAATTTTACTGGAAAGACTATTTTGAGTGTTTTGTATGGAATTTATTTTCACTGATTTTTAATGAATTGAATGTAAAATATAGGAAAAAAATATATTTGCTGGATTTTATTTTAATTTAATCAGTCTTTTAGCAAAAATAGCAAAAATAAAGTATTTTACAGTAACACGTTTTACCGAACATTTTTATCGTAGTTGCATTTCCCGCATGTTCATGAATAAGTAAAAAGAATTGGTGAAATCACTGTGAAAACTATGCAGTCATCACTAGATGTTAATCTACAATGGGGGGGGGGGGGATCATGCTTATCATATAGGGTAGTTGTGCGTTTGAGCCAGTTTATTCAGTTTTGGGGAAGAAACAGTCAGGTCACATGCAGTGTGAGTTTTATGATACTGTAGAATACTTTATTTTCACTTGGAATTTATTTTCGCTGAAGGGATGATTCCATGAAAATAAAATCCACCAAATGTACTTCCTATATTTCACATTCATCTCATCAAAAATCAGTGAAAATAAATTCCATATATAACGCCCAAAAAGCCTTTTCAGCGAAAATTAAATTCAGCTAAAATAAAGTATATCACAGTAGTTAAATTCAGGTTTAAAAACTAGCGTCATGCTGTCATATTGTATTCTAGACATGTGTTTAGGACTCGCCATATCTTGGATATGTACATCCACTTTCATGGAGTAGACTTGTATGTTTTGACATCATTAATTGTTGTTTCTGTTTTCAGCTCTAGTTTTTGGTAACAACGTACAAACCCACCCAAGATACATTGGTAGTATAGATCCAAACTGTGACGTAGAGTCTGTTATACTCGGTAAGTTAAGTAACGTACACGTTGGTGGGTACCAAGAAAAGAGGTTGACTTTTGAGACATGCTTGCACGCAAATTTACAGCAAGCAGTACAATACATATAGAGTGTGTCCTCTATACCGATGATGATGATGCAGCACTGGCGCAATAGGATTTGCTGTGACACAACCTTTGAAACTGACCACCTCGTGCTCAGCCTAGAATGGACCATAATAGACTATAAAACCACAGTTGCCGAGTTCATGTTTTCAAGATTTTCTTGTTTGATTTCAGATGCATTTGACAGTGCAAAGTATCTATGTGACCAATATTATTTAGCTTCACCAGAAATGGAAATAACAACTCATAATGGTAGGTATTGTACAGGAGTAATGGTTGAAGTAAAATGCAACTGTACTCCCTAGACTGATTACAATAAACTACAGCTGTGTGTCAAGACCCCCCAGACTGATTAAAATAATTTATGCCTGTGCTAAGACTCCCTAGTCTGCTGAAATTATTCACAACTATGCTTCAAGGCCCCCTCTACTTGTTAAAATAATCTGTAAGAGTGTGTGTGAGTGTTTGACTAGACTCTTTAGACTGCTTAAAATAATGACTATGATAAAACTTCTTAGACTGGTAAAATATTCCACAACTGCTCCAAGTCATTCTTAACTTGTTAGAATAACCCACAACTGTGCTCTTGGGTTTCCTAAACTGGTGAGAATAAACCAAAACTGCTCCAAGTCATTCTTAACTTGTTAGAATAACCCACAACTGTGCTCTTGGGTTCCCTAAACTGGTGAGAATAAACCAAAACTGCTCCAAGATTTCTTAAACTGGTTAGAATGATCCAAAAGTGTGCTTTAAGACTCTCTGTACCAATAGATTAATCCACAAATGTGCTTTAAGACTCCCTAGACTACCAGAATAATCCACAAGTGTGTTTTGAGACTCCCTGTACCACCAGATTAATCCACAAGTGTGCTTTAAGACTACCAGAATAATCCACAAGTGTGCTTTAAGACTCCCTGTACCACCAGATTAATCAAGTGTGCTTTGAGACTCCCTAGACTGGTTAGAATAATCCACAACTGTGCTTTGAGACTTTCTAGACCACCAGATTAATCCACAAGTGTACTTTGAGACTCCCTAGACTACCAGAATAATCAACAAGTGTGCTTTAAGACTACCAGAATAATCCACAAGTGTGCTTTAAGACTCCCTGTACCACCAGATTAATCATATGTGCTTTGAGACTCCCTAGACTGGTTAGAATAATCCACAACTGTGCTTTGACATCCTCTAGACTACCAGAATAATCCACAAGTGTACTTTGAGACTCCCTAGACTACCAGAATAATCCACAAGTGTGCTTTAAGACTCTCTAGAATGGTTAGAATAATCCACAACTGTGCTTTGGGACTCCCTAGACTGGTTATAATAATCCACAACTGTACTTTGGGATCCCTAGATTCAAATACTACTTTGTTTTATTACAGCTGTGAATGATAATGATATTCAGATTGTCTATGTACCATCTCATCTTTACCATATGCTCTTCGAACTCTTTAAGGTAAATTCAGTTTTGTTGTTTAAAATGTGGTGGTTGTCGTGCTGTGCATATGCGACATTTGTGTTGATGAACATTGATTTTCCCACAATCCAATGATCTTCAAATGGAAATCACAAGTATGAGGTTTGACCTGGGTGAGACTTGCACTGAATACCGCGGACGACTCCTTCGATACCTTCCAATCATCTAAAAAGTACCTAATTAAAGCTTGGAAACTTCTTAATTTGTACTCGTTGATCTGCGCAACAGTCAAAGTCGCCATCTTTGTTTATATGAGACCCATATATCTCGCGCATGCGTGGCGTAACGACCACCGCTCTTTAAAATGTAATGTTGGCAAAACTTGGTCACTTGTGAGTAACTTTCAAATTTGAAAGTTATGGTGTTAGCGTATTATACAGTGTTGTTTATCGATTAAGTTATTATTTGTCTTCACTACAAAAAATCCCATCTTGCATTGCTGTTTGAATAAGCGCGAAACACAGCTAACCTAGGAAGTACGTTATGTTCGTTGACACAGTAGTAATAGAGTGAACTAGTCATGTGAATTAAAAACAGAGGGACATAATGGCTATACAGGAAACTCAATTCTGGTGTGCAGACTTCGTATCGAATATAGATTTTCGTTACGTATATTCGATTGCCAAACAGAGAATCCTATGCGTGCTTCGGTGACTTGATGACACCTCAAGACGCTGGAAACTTGATCATAATCAAATTTCTGCTCGTTGATGTTCGGCTATTGGCAAGGCGGTTATTTTGCAAATAGTGTAGCTGTTACATTTATTACAGTAACATATGACTGGCAAAAACTTCAAACTAAATTTTGCCAACAGTACGGCTTTGAAGGTGTCTGTAGGAGTGATTGTGCCTCTGCAGTGAAATTTTCACTTTTTTGTGAAACTTGCAGAATTGTGTTTTGTACTTTTTTTGTAAATTAATGTATTTTACTGTATTAAATTTGATGTTGTTCATTGATGAAATACTGTAAAATGACTAATTTTCACTGGGTTTAAATTTCACTGATTTACCATTTCAGGCATATTCAGTGGGTTTTAAATTTATCATTTAGATAATGTGTTCTATGCTAAATTTTACATATTCACTGGGTATTAATTTAGCACATTTTCCAGTCAGCGATAATTAATTAAATAATTAATTCCTTTACAGTAGTAACATGATACATAAAAATGTAAAAAAAATAGTGGAAAGAAACAATTTGGCAGTCAAAGGATTACCCTTTTTACCACCAGTTCCCTCTTTTCATCACAATTTCACAAAATAGTCCCTTTTATAGTCTGCACTTTCCTTTAGAAGATTGGGCCAATATAGCCCAATTTTTTGAGTAAAAACTGAAAATTGTCTCTAATTTTATCTGTTGGCTCCAAAATTAAGGGTTTATTTCCAGAGTTGCCAAAATACATAAATAAATCTCTGCACTTTTTTTTTTCTACTGGTAGATTTCACTTTAACCTTTAAAACATGTCAATTTTTCCTGCCAAGTTATTTTTACATTTTGACCTAGGTAGACATAATTTTACATTTATGAGAAAAGCTGACTGGCATCAACAGATTAAAATAAAATGACTTTTATTTATAAAAGATAAAAACAATATTTGGTCAATTTTTGTTAATTTTGTTTCCTAATGGCAAGGATATATCTTGATTCATTTCTGAATTTGGCTTGGTTGAAATAACGATTTTATATAGTATTTATAGCATACGTGTGATTGGTTTGGTAATTTACAAAAAAAAAGACTCGGAAAGCATCATGCACGTTTTATTTCACGGATGACCCAAGGGTTGATTTGAATATTTTGTTTTGTTTGTTGTACAGAATGCGATGCGAGCTGTTGTTGAATACCATGGTACTGCCAGTTTAGATTACCCTCCGATACAAGTGAAGGTAGTGATTGGAAAACATGATCTGACTATCAAGGTAAGTAAGAGAACAGGTGTGATTTTTATTAGCTCAGAATGTTTTCAAATTTGATATGCAAGTATCTTGGATGGTTTTTCCTGAGATTTGTTCATTTCATGTCAAAATCTCAAATTCTCTATTTTTGGTGAATATTTTTGTAATTTTTGGTAAAAAGTGATATTTTCAACTTCTTGTTAAAAACCACAAGTCTGATTGCTTTGATATTGCGTGCGTGCATCCGAACCTGTATCTTAGAAATGCCTGGACCAATCACAATCAAACTTCACACATACATCATACATGATATTATACATATGCACATCAATTTGTTTCACGATCTGATTTAAGATGGCCAAATGGCAGCCATTTTTGTACTGAAAATTTCTCGGCTGTTTACAGATGGATTTTGTTCAAACTTGTTATATACATTGGACATTATAAGAGCCTGATGCACGTCATTTTGTTATTCAGATGAGATTCAAAATGGCTGATGAGTGGCCAATTTGTTTTAATGAATGTTGTTCTAGTGCCATATCTCTGACTTGTTTTCACTGAATCATTCCTTCAGTGAAAATAGTGAAAAAAAAGTATTTTACAGTAGTTGGCTATCAGATTATATGCCGTTATTCACAAAACCCAGATTAAAATATCTGGTCATCAAAGTACTTTTCGAACAACATGCTCGTCAAACATCCACGAAAATGGTGATTACCATATCCCAAAATTCAGTTTGGTTACTGTAAAATACTTTATTTTCGCTTAGAATTAATTTTCACTATTTTCGCTGAGGTAATGATTCAGTGAAAATAAAATCCAGCGAATTCACCCTTTTTCCTATATTTTACATTCAACTATAAACTACAAATCAGTGAAAATAAGTTCCATACAAAACACCCAAAAAGTTTTTTTAGGGAAAATTAATTCCAGCTAAAATAAAGTATTTACAGGAAAAATTTGTATGTAGTTATAAATGAAAACTTAAGGTTGCCAAGAGTTATTAGGACATTCTAATGACTATTATTCATTTTTTTTTTAAAAGAAAGTGACAACATGGCTTCCTTAGAAAATTTGTAGTTTCAGGCATTTTTAAAAAAAAAATGTTTGTACTGTAAAAAAACAAAAAAAACATGAAAAGTTGATAACGGGTATCAAAATCAATAATTATGCAGCGTGTCGGAAACGGGAAATTGTTATAATTTTTCCACCTCTACTTATTAGGTTAAATACCCGCGATCTCATCTAAGGCCCGACCTAGATAACTGAACTTTGAAGGTACTGGATAATGCCAATGACCTCGTAATCAGGTCACTGTGTCTGATTGGTCATCTACCTCTTTGAATAAGTTGCATACAACATGTCTATTTTCATTTTTCTTTACGGATCGACAATTAGAAACTGGGGGGGGGGGGTATTTGATAGGACTGTAAATTTTATTTGTAGTAATATCAACTTGAAAAACAAAAGCTCTAAATTAAGCATAAGTATAAAGTATATAATAATTGGACTGTTTTTCTACCATATTCTCTGAAAGTTTTTATAACTATCAACCCTGTACAACATGTACAGTTCCCTTTTTTCATTAGAAATTCACAAAATAGTCTTGTTTATTGTCTGCACAAAAATAGCCAAATTTTTTGAGTAAAAACTGATAATTGACTCAAATTTTGTTTGTTAGATTCAAAATTAGGGTTAATTTCCAGAAATATTGAAGAATATAAGAAAAAAAGTGCAGAAAAATTTTTGGTGGGGAAAAGATTAATGTGTGAAGAATTTGTATGTAAATGATCAGAGCCTGCGTCGTTATAGCAACAAAGGTCAACTCACAGGTGACCTATTTTTTTTTTTTTTTTTTTTTTTTTTTTTTTTTTTTTTTTTTTTTCCCTTTTTCCCCCCGTGTGTATAAGCACATGATGCCGGCACTACCGCCACTAAAAAAAAAAATCCTGAAATCTTCAAGTTACTTTAAAATCTTCATCTTATGCATACAGGTTACTGACTCTGGCGGCGGTATCCCGCGTCATCAGATTGATTTACTCTTCAATTACATGTATTCAACGGCACCTGTTCCACCGAAACCGGGATCCACTACAACCGCACCATTGGTGAGTTTATTAATGTGCGACATTTGTGATGATAAACATTAATTTTCCCACAATCCACTGCGCTGTTCTTATAGAGATCATGAGTATGAGTTTTGACCTGGACAGGCCTGGAATTTGCAACTGTCAGTCAACTTCATGAAAGTGTAAATGCTTTTGAATATATTTTGGTAAAATTAGCAAAGAACAATAGGACAAAATAGACTAAAGTTGTCAGTTCAAAATCAAAGTTACCAGTCTGGTCTGGCTAAAAGCCTGGATGCATCATGGGTGCATCATGAACTAATCACCGTCGTCGGTGACTCCTCCTAGTCGCCAAAGAAATTGTCGAGTTAAAACTTGGTAATGCCTCAGTTTGTAGTCAACGAACAGTCAAAGTTGCCATCTTTGCTCATATGAGAACCCATATCTTGCTTATGCGTAGTGCAACCCCCCCCCCCAAGTTTTATCATTTTTCAATTCTTGTAAAATGTGTTCCTCTAAATTGCATATGAACCAGGGATTTTTTTAAACAAAGGAACAGGGGCGCAGCACCCTCATGCCATGGCCATGTGGCCCCTTACCCTGGGGAGCAGATCCTCTGGCAAACATAAAATTCTGATTGACCAGGGATCACATGTGGCTACAGTCTTCAACTGTGACCTGTCTGATAGTAATTTTGGTCCCAAGGAAGCCATAGAATGCTCCATTTTAATTTAGAATTATCAATTGCAGTGCTCTCTCTTGCAGTTTTTTTTCTAGAAAAACCCCTGTAAACAATCTATTAATTTTTATCTTTATTGCAGTATGTACAATATCTTTATATAATTGTCTTTTAGGCTGGTTATGGTTATGGTTTACCAATATCACGTCTGTATGCTCGATATTTCCATGGTGATTTACAGCTGACTTCCATGGAAGGCGACGGCACTGATGCTATAGTCTATCTTAAGGTAAGTCAGTCTAGTTGTCTAGAATCATCCAGTTTGTGTAGAAATATCTTGTTTGTCCAAGTATATCAAGTTCAATCTAGTATGAACCAGTCTGATCTAGTTTGTTCCAGTTTGATCCGGACTGACTCTGTGCTCTGTATGTTCTTTTTTTGTAAGGTGATGTCAAGAGAAGCCAATGAGCTGCTGCCTATCTTCAACTATGCTACATCGCAACAGTACAAACGTACGATCTGCACCGGTGATTGGAGTTCCCCTGCTCCGCAACAGTTTGCTGCTGCCAATGGCCCTGGACACATGAACAGGGATTCACTTGTCACAAAAACAGCTTAGGACATTTCGTCTATATTGGCATCTATGGTCATGGAACAGTTCTAATTATATGCCATATTTTGTGTGTAAAAACAGTAAATTCAAGCCTGTCTAAAATGTTGGGACAAATGTAGGACGTTTAAAAAAAAAAATAACAGCATCTGAATTACTGCATGAGAATATGGAGCTCCCTCATTGGTGGACATTCAAGGCACTATGACATCATCATACCATATTTGGTTAGCCTACCAAATTATAAAAGGATAATCAATTGAGCAAGACGTAATTTATCAGATTTTTCAGAAGTTTATCCCTTTAATGACCAAACATGGAAAGGTGATCATATTTAATGACGTAACTGGTTGATGGCTGTCGTCGGCACTTGTCGCAAAAATGGTATCAAATGCAAAGACAATCATAAAAATCACATTTCATTCAAAAGACGGATGTTATAACGTTTTAGAACTTTTTTTTCCCTTCTCGTTTTTTTTTTTTTTTCTTTTTGAGTGCTAATATCAATCTTGTAGAAGCCTGTGTTGAAAGAATCGCTATGGTGATGAGCAATAGACAAAATCTGCAAGTTTTAATTGCGTTTGATATTTTATTTGAATATCTCAGTAACGCTGCTTGCACTCATTAAAAGTTTGTGCATGACACTCATCGACAGCGGCATATATTTACCCAAAATTGTACAAAGCGACAGTACCGGTACATTTTCAAGTACACTATAATTAAGTTGTACGTTTACCTGCAGACATATAATAAAAGTTGATAAATGCAGGTTTATCTATAGTTGTTTTTATAATAACCAACTATAAACAAAGAAGACAAAATGGTGAATCATTATGATATACTGTAAAATACTTTATTTTCACTTCAAATTAATTTTCGTCATATTCGGTGAAGGAAAGAATCGGTGAAAATAAAATCCAGTGTGTATACCTTCTTTTCTATATTTTACTCAACTCAGAATCAAAAATCAGTTAAATAAATTCCATGCAAAACACCCAAAAAGCCTTTTCAGTGAAAATTAGTTCCAGTTAAAATAAAGTATTTTACAGTATTCATGTTACAAAAACTTACAAATGGTCTGTGTTGTTTACATTAGCATTATATCATAAAAGATTATCTAAATTCTTATACACGATTGTCGTGTTTGTTACTTGTATTTTGCTTACATGCTGCTTTAAACATTTGGTAGTTTTATTTGTTTTAGTAAATTGTAAATAAATTGGTGATCTCTCTCACTGCCAATAAGTCATTCCTGGAACTCTTTAGTGCCAGTACATCATGCCTAAGTTCATTGACAGCTTAGGGGGTCAGTACATCATGCCTAAGTTTATTGACAGCTTAGGGAGTCAATACATTATGCCTAAGTTCATTGATAGCTTAGGGAGTCAATACATTATGCCTAAGTTCATTGATAGCTTAGGGGGCCCTTACATCATGCCTAAGTTCATTGATAGCTTAGGGGGCCCTTACATCATGCCCCAGTTCAGCAACGACTTAGGGGGTCAGTACATCATGCCTCAGTTCAAAGACAGCTTAGGGGGCCATTACATCATGCCCCAGTTCAGCAACAACTTAGGGGACCAATTGCATCGCATACATGTCTTGAGCAAAATTGTAGAAAAAATATTACTGGGATTTATTGTGAGAAATAAACATTGTCGGTGATGGTAAACGACATTCTGGGTTTCTTTGCTCCCAGGATTGATAGCTTCCAATTTCATTCATTTCTTCTTTCGAGAATTCCTAACTGTACGCTTACAAAATTTGTTGGTTGTACTGCCTAGTAACGAGTTTAAATTCAGAAATTTGTTTTCGGAACAAGAAATCTTAGAAGAAAATGGCCGCCAAAATCGGTTTGAACGAATGGCCGCAAGATGTGTTTTTTCTCCTAAATTAGTGTTCTATTTTAGTCCTGTCATTGCCTCTACTGTTCTAAATACATAGGGGGGAGACGCTAATTAAGGGGTAAAATCGCGTCTCTCTGTCATGAGTTCTTGGCGGTTGTTCACATCTGAAGTCTTGTTTCCAAATAAGGTCTACTTGTATATTACTTTCCAATACACGTACAGAGTAGTAGATTATATTTTATCAGTAATGCTGTATTTTGCGATTACTGTGTTTTCCATTTTCTAGAGACGAATGTTTTCGTGTGACATTATTAATATGCAGGTGTGCTTCTACCTATCAAAATGTCCGTTTTATCTTGGAATATCTCGGCTGCAGTGCAAGACTGAAATTTGAGAGGTGAAGATAAATATTCGTAAAAGGGCTTTGCATATATCAATAGTATGGAGTGCAAAATTGTATTTTTAGAACAGGCATGGTGGTAATTGCCGTTGATGTTGTTGTAACGTTCAAATGCAAATCTGTTATATTTGTCAGTGATTGATTTGCAATACTTAAAAAGTTGACGCAATTGGCGTTCGACTATATAATACTTTATTTTATTGAAAAGGAATTGTTAAATTGCAGGGGAAATAAACAGCCCTGCTAAAAGTTATGTCTGCCATTATGTGTGTTGTTTGTCAATGAGATAAATGTACATTTTCAATGTTGCAGAATGTTGGTATTTGAAATGTTCAGAATACTGTAAAATACTTTATTTTAGCTGGAATAAATTTTCTCTGAATAGACTTTTTGGACGTTTTTGTATGGAATTTATTTTCACTGATTTTTGATGAGTTGAATGTAAAATATAAGAATAGTATATTGCTTGAATTTATTTTCGCTGAATGATTCTTCCAGCAAAAATTAATTTCGAGCGAAAATAAAGTATTCTACAGTACAGCTAATAAATTTTTTTTTTTTAATTTAGTTAGATGTATGAGAGTGTAAATAAGAATTTATTACAAACCCAGAAAGAAAAACAACATTTAATCACCATAGCTACCGTGCTGCATTACGGTCAAATTACGCGTATTCTACATTTAGTGTGGTTTGTCTGTGAAACAAGATCTTGAGGCAGAAATGCATGTAACAGAAAAATTAATATTAAAAAAAAAAAAAAAATGTCTTGGTATTACCGTATGTTTAGGTTGACATACATGTATACCCTTCACCCTAATCTTAATGCCAAAAATACTAGAATAACTAAGGAGCCTCTTTTCTGACCACTTAGCTATGGTATAAAAAGCATTAAACTTAATTTAAGTTGAATTTCCTTAAATTGGATTTCTAAAACTGATTAATATATTTATGTTCCGATACTGGATTGCAATTTGAATTGATTTGAATAGTTCCTTTTGAGGATTGCGTCATGTTCAGCTCAACTGTGCAGAATAATTGTGGGTATTTTTAATTTTTTGGCGAAATCGTCCAAGCAATATCAAAGCAAAAATGTTCGATTTTGGCTCAATAAAAAATCCCCGCAATTTTTTATCTGTTAAAACAGTTTCGCTGAAGGTGACGCTATCCTCAAAGTGACCAATTATATTTGCAATTGCATATGAGACTGTAATTCAACCCTTATCCTGCCAACACCATGTACTTATACATTGAATTGACCAGACGAAGGTTAATGGAGTAGCTCTATGGGTTCTGGTTCCATATTTTACAGATAATTCGTGTCGTATTTATTGCATCAAAATTGTTGTGGTACAGAACCTGGCACTTTAAATTGTTGCAACTGGAAATGCTGGCGTTTTCGTAATTCTTGGGCATTAATAAATAACATGACATTTTTGATGAAGTCTCAAAAACATTTCTTGCCAAATTGAATAGATCAGCATTATTTCCATTGAAATTTAATTATTCATGGTTTTATGATGGATATCAGCTATTACGTTTACGTTACTTAATTATTCTGTACGTCTTTGACTTCCTCTATATATGATAAAACCAATAAAGTTTTAGAGAGCAAGTTAATTGTCTGTGTATATAGCTATGTTTGGATTATCTACCGATTTCTGAATTACCTCGCAGCTCAAAAAACTA